TATAATAAAGAAAATGATATTGTCAGAATTTTAATCAAATCAATCAGATTGATTCATTAAATATCAGTTGGTTGAGTAATAACTTAATATCATATCATATTTACAGTAAAATGGTTTCATGTTTCTTGTTGCAGAAATTCAATGTTGTGTCTCGTCAAGTTTGTTAAGTTCAGTCATGTTTTAGTTTGTTTGTTGTTTAGTCTTTCCTGTTTTGTTTTGTACTCACCTTTTCCCTCACTATTCAAACCCTGACTTACTCCTCTGTGTGATTTTCCCGCCTTTGTAATTGTCTGCCCGCCCCTGATTGCTTTCACCTGTTCTCACTTACACATGGTATAAATAGTCATTGTCTCCCTTTGTCTTTGTCAGTTTGTCTTCAAGAGTGGGTATCGTCAAGTGTTGTAGTTCAGAGTCCAGGTTATTTTTTGTGTCAATTGAAGTTTGACTTTTTTTCATATCCTCCTATAGAGTGCCGTTTGTCAAATAAATATCATTTTTCCCTGCAACTTTGTCTGTGCCAGAGTCGTGCATTTGGGTCCACCAATATTCCTCCTCCTCAATCACTGACCCAGGTAAACTCTCCATAAATGATCAGACTCTAACTCAGGGGGCTTTAATTGACTCTGGGGCAGACGATATTTTCATGAACTGGACTCTAGCCCAACAGAACCAGATTAAGACTGTTCCTCTGTCACATCCTGTTAATGCCAGTGCTTTGGATGGTCGATTATTGTTTAAAGTTACTCATTGCATCGAACCCATACAGGTAACATTAAACCACAAGCACACAGAAGTTATGCAACTTCATTTATTTGATTGAGCACAGCATCCACTGATTTTGGGTTTTCCGTGACTTAAGAAACATAATCCCCACATTGACTGGCGCTCTGGCAAAATCAAATGTTTTTGAGAACAAATCTGGAGGTGGTTGTAGAGGAATGTTTTGAAATAAGTAGTTTGGGTAGTATATGAAGCTATTAGATTATCAATTATAGATATTGGTAGTGACAGCCATCTATTGATTAACTCATTAATTTCCACCATTAAAGGTTCATAATACCATCAAACCTTTTCTAGCCTTGGCAAAATCTGTACTCCCAAATGTTTGTTATACAACATTAACTTTAATTACCTCACAAACTGGATTCTTTTCATTTGCACTGAGCAGTATTACAGATGCTTTTGTATTCACTTAAAATCCAGAAATATCAACAATTGTTTTTGTTTTTAGCTGTACCAAGGCTGGAATTCTTTTTTTTTTTCATGAGAAATATTGATTAGAGCTTTCACCTCAAATTTTAAAAACTACTGCACTAAAAGAAAAGTCTGTATTGTTTGGGAACCATGAATGTCTGCGCCTAATTTCTTGGCAATCCCTCCAGCAGTTGTTAAGAATTCACTAAAAGACAGAAATGTCAACCTCATGGTGGCACTAGACAAAAAGTCAAGGGATTACCAAAGTCAATGGAAGCTTCTTTTATCTTCCTCAGACTCCTCATCATCAGAGGAGATGCCGATTGGGAGATTGTCACCTTCAGTGCTGTCCATAATCCTGATTACCCCAGAGTGGCCATCATCTGCAGGAGCTTCAGTGATGTGGTTTTCACCACCTGACAGAAAAAAGTTAAGAAGCATCTGAAAACTCAAATATTTCTTAGAACAATAAAATTTGGTAATTAAAAATGGTTACCGTGTGTATATACACACACAGTGACTTTAACTATGACTGCATTCCATGGGTCACAAGCAGTTGGCAAAGCCCTAAACACACAACTGGATGCAATAGTATCAAATATTGTTCTGTTCTGCCACTGATATTTTGTAGTCTGACTGATACTGGACAATACTGATATTGATAGTTGGGAGTTTAAAAAGTCTAACGATACAGTGGCCAATAGTAATTTTTAAACACACCACACAAACAAACAATGGAGATACAGATGCCTTGGATTTGTCTTTTTTACTCTCATAAATACATACATGATACATACTGACTGGGACATTTTACAGGGTAAAAATAAACTCAGTGTACTCAGTCAGTCCTCTGGTGGCCATACTGTGTAATGTTACTACTCACACATGCAGATGAGGACATGAGTCATTTTGTGCTGCGTGTCGGGTCATGAGAATCAGTGTTTACACCACTTCTGTTCTGTTTGTTTATTATTGTGTCTTTTCCACAAAGATTATGCATGTCGGTTAAACAGAGTTACAGATTCCAAATCGCTGTCTTTAAACCATGATTCAAAGCACTGATACCTCGAGTATTGGCAGGTCTGTGCTGCTCTCTGCTGGACAACACACACCTTTTCACTTTGTTTTCATCATGTGATTGTTCATTAGTGATGTGGGAAGGAGTAAGATCTAGACCTGCTCTATCTGAAAAGTGTCCTGAGATAATCTCTGTTATAGTTTGGCTCCGTATAAATGACACTGAAATGAAATTTTAGTTTAATTAGAATTTAATGTGGCATTCATTCAGGTTTTAAAGGATAAATAAATAAACATTCAACATATGATTTTCATGTGCTGTACAAACCGTGTATTGTATTTCACTTTTTTCCGTTGTTCGTCTTGTTCATTTAACTTAATACGATCACACACCTACACACACACACACACACACACACACACACACACACACACCTCCCACACACACACACACACACACCTCAACACACACACACACACACCTACACACACACGCACACACACGCCTACACACACACACACCTACACACACACCTACACACACCTGCTTTGTGATCACAGGTATCATTGCAATGTATGATGACATTTAAAATGAGAGTACATTTTTGTAAATTCTATTTTCAAGGGGAGTCGCAGCCGTGGTCCAATATTTATTGAATAAAAAAGGCAAAGTTGTACACATCCAGACTTTTTCAGAGGCACTGAACAAAGATCATTTAACTGTGAAAAATAAAAAGGCCTACTAACTAAAACGATTTGATGCTGCAATCAACACAAGACAGCTCAGGTTTGTTTACACCTGTGCGTCATGACGTCCTCGCCTTCGTTGCCATGCTGAACAAGAGACACTTATTTCAATTTTGGCCCATGGGCCTTTTTTCCAATAATTTTTATGGAAAATTTGGACAATTTGAATCCCTCAACCCAAAACCAGAGTATTTTCAAAATGTCCAGGATATTCAATGCATTCTATGCATCAAATGATCAGTTTACAGGAGAAATTGTTCATTTTCAGCACACTGAGGAATTGTTGTTTAGGGATTATATGTTGATAAATTAATAAAATCATCAGAAAAATTCTCTCATTATCCAACTCAGGGGTGACTCCAGTCAGCAGCTGTTCTCTGATGGTGGGGGTCCTCTGAAGGCCATTTTCCAGCTGTTCACTTTTCCACAATATTTTAGCAATCCACAAGTTTGTTTTTCAACAAGGTCTATTTAGAGAAGATCCAGGAGATTCCCTCCAAGTTAGTTTTCAGAGAGTTAGCTTTGATAGAGTTAGCTTTTTATAGAGTTAGTTTCTTACCTTTTGCAGCAGGTCAACTTGTGTCCAAATACAGAGTGAGAAATCAGAATCGCAGACCTTAGAGGACCTCATCATTCTGTTTCCATGACATTTTACTGATGCACACGTCTGAGTGAGAGACATTATAGTATATAATAATTTTATTTTGATCATATTCTTAACAAACACAGTATAGCCTACATCTTTTCATTTAATGTATTATGTATTTTTTCATGATTTGCAATGATTTGTTCACTCATGGATGTATTCTGGTCTGCTGTATCAGCAAATGGCCAGCAGGTGTCACTGTCACTGTGGAAAGCATGAATGCATGGACAGAGACAGGAAGAGTCCCCTGATCTGAGAGTGTGTTCAGGAAAGGAGACAGGGATGCATGTGTATCACCAGTTAAATCTGCGCTCATTCATTTGTTGTTTTTGTTTGTGCTTTACAAAAATCTGAAAATTAAACAATACAAAAATAAAATATTGAAAACCAATATAAGATAGAAACAACAACAATAATTGACAGATACACTAGTTCTTAATAAAACAGAGAGCTAGAATCAATACAAAAGTATTAAGTTATTTCTGATTTTGTAGCTTCAGATCTTGGAGTGCTGGTCTTTTATTTTGAAAGTGTGTATCCAGTTTGTAGAATAAAATCAGAGACAGTCTGTTTTAAGAGCAAAAATCAGCAAAAGTCAAATACTGTGTCCTTAAAAAGTACACTGTGGCATTTTTCACAACAAAAGAAATAATTAATACATTAAATAACTATTAATTATGTGGCACCTACAAAGCATGTTCTAGCTTCATAGATATTTGCTTCCTCATTCAAACAGTGTGTCTCAGCTAACTTAATGAAGAAGGAACACAGAGGTTAACCACTGCCATTCCTTATTTTAGTTGAATGAGGAAGTCTTTTACTTTAAGCTTGTCTCCAAATCCCATTTTCTCTCTGCTTCCCATGTGCTGTATATAATATTGAACTCCATTCTTTTCTCAATCTAAGTGTGAGATGTGGAAAGTTTTCTGTGTTTTAAATTAGATAATTTCCGCATTGTTACATTCTAGGGCTGTTATTTAAAAGGAATTTAAAATATACGTTTTGAGAAGTTATTTAAAAGATGTTACTGATTCTGCAGCCTCAGATCTTGGAGTGCTGGTCTTTTATTTTGAAAGTGTGTATCCAGTGGACCTTACACCCAGTCTACTTTAAATGTTACAGGGTTCTTATGAGTCCTGTTTTGTAGAATAAAAATCTGAGACAGTCGTGTTTTAAGAGCAAAAATCATCAAAAATCAAATACTGTGTCCTTAAAAAGTACACTGTGGCATTTTTCACAACAAAACAAATAATTAAATTAATTAATTAACTATTAATTATGTTGCACCTACAAAGCATGTTCTAGCTTCATAGATATTTGCTTCCTCATTCAAACAGTGTGTCTCAACGAACTTACAGGAAGAAGAGACATTTTAACACAACTGCTTATTTTAGTAAAATCAGGAAGTCTAGAATCATTCTCACAGTGAGTTGGTCCTTGTTGTTGTGTCTTACTCTGCTCATCAACATGGCTCTTCATCTCAGTGTTCTTCTCATCTTCACTGGACTCACAGGTCAGTCACAGGGCTCATTTGATCATTTCTGTCCTTATGTGTGTGCTGGTTATGTCATAAGATGATGCGACTGTAATTACAGTTCTTTAAATATCAGTTTGTTGAGTAATAACTTAATATCATATAATATTTACAGTAAAATGGTTTCATGTTTCTTGTTGCAGGAATTCACAGCATAACTACAGTCAGTAAAGTGTCAGTGAAGGCTGGAGGCTCCATCTCTATCCCATGTCTCTATGAGCCAGAGTACACACACCATGTCAAACACTTGTGTAAAGGATCTAACTGGGGGTCCCGCTCCTGCAAAGTTAAAACTGATCAACCAGACAGTTCAGGAAAGTTTTCAATCTCTGATGACAAACAACAAAGAATTTTCACTGTGACTATTAATAATCTGATGATGGACGACACTGATTACTGGTGTGTTGTGGAGATAAATGACCTGAAAAGTGACGTGAAGCTTTTTCAGCTGTCAGTCACTGGAGGTAAGAATGTATATACTGTATATATTTGATATATGGGGGCAATTTGATTAACCAGCTCTTAAGAAGGGAGGCAGTTTGGATTTATGAACTGAACACAATTGAACCTTATGGACTCAGTGAAGCACAGGATTTGAGCTATTTTTTTTGTGACATTACACATGTTATCTTATATCTCTCTGTATAGGTAATTTGGACCCTTAGGGAGAGATCAGACACTATGTCTCCTGGCCTTCCCATTTAGTGGTGTAAAGGGACAGTGGTAGGACCTATAGGATAGTTCAGCTGTACAGATTTTTTACTAAATGGTTGTGTGACCTACCAGTACCTGACTATCATGCATGGAGAGTTTTGTTTACGATATATATACTGCCCACAATGTTCTAGTAAATGCTATTTGTTCTTCCTCAAGGTTGGCCCCAACTCTTTGTGGATCATCAGGAGATTACAGGATTTAATGGAGAAGATGTAACCATCCATGGTTCCTATAGTAACACTGGAGAGATTGAGTGGTGCAGGCTGGGAAGGTCCTGTGTGAAGGAACCGTCTGGATCAATAGATGGAACAAGAGTGACCATTAATGCAAATGTCCCCAAAGTTTTCACTGTGACTATGAGTGGACTGAGGACAGAGAGCAGCGGCTGGTATTTCTGTACCAAAGGACTCCTACAGATGCCAGTGCATGTGACTGTTAAAGAGAGACCCAGCACTAGTAAGGACCATTCTACTATTATAAAATGTTCAGCTGTAAATATCTGCCACGTGCAGCCATTAGTAAAGGTTTGCATTTAATATAGAAGTGATATTAGTATTCATTATTGTGATATGATTCTGGTGATCATTGTGTTGTTTCACATCACTCTTACAATGAAATTACGTTTAACCACATCTTCACCCACTGCTGAACCTGTGAATCACACTGCTGTCTCTGCATATGGGGAACCTACCACAGTTCAGGGTGGGAAACACAGGTCAGTAGCCTTTACATTCACATACAGTATTTAGAGAACAATGGCTAATTTAAAGACAAATAAATCATTCCTTGTGAGGGAATCTATATACTTGTGTTCTTTACTTACATTATTTGACTTATGTGACCTATATGATAACTAAGGTTAATTTCTATCACTAAAATATGATTGTGTACAGCTGCAGTAAATATGACCAGGATGATGAATACTTCAGACTACATTGTTTGATTGTACATTGATTCAAACTGTTGTTGCAGAGCTTTCATCATCCCTTTGAGTTTGTTGATCTTCATTCTAATGGTGGCCTCGTTCATCTGGTTCATGTTGAGAAGACACAGTAAGTCTATTCTGAGCTTTCATGAATCCAATCATCAATATTTGGACTGTTTTTAATTGAAGTGTAGACGTGTGCAGCATTGTCATTGCACAATGAGAGTCAGTAACAGGAGGTTTTACTGTTTCACTTTTAGAACAGACCAAAGCACCAGCATCAGCTGCAACAGCGGTAAGATATGATGATTTATATTATCTTTTTACAACAAAGGCTGTAAGGTTCCTCAGTATAGAGCCAGAGCTGCCATCATCATCCTTTGTGTTTACACTGCAGTGTCGGGCAATCACACACACATTCACACATTATTTGCATGCATTGCGTTATTTTCACTAACAGAACATAATCAGTGGACAGAGCTTCCAGTTTAGAGAAGTGAGGCCAATGAATAAGTGTCTTAAACCTGAATTCTTTCTAATGGCCAGCAGAGGGCAGCTCCATAGGCTGCAAAAAGAACTAATGAGTTTATAGTCTCTAGTTTTAAGTCTTCATACAGCATAATGATCATTTAGTAAACTATGGTCCCATTTAGAGTAAAATAAACTATAAAGCAGGGTATGCTTTAGGGTATGGCTACCTTGTGATTGACAGGTCTGTCCGGAGCAACCAACAAAACTCAGATAACACTGTCAAACTAGCCAGTGCTGATCAAATATGGATCAAGATTCTGTTTTTTTTAGTATTTTTCTCCTCAAAACCTTTCTGAAACATCAACAAGTCTTTATATTTGTTTTACTTACTCAGTTGCGGTTTTGTATTAATTTAGTTTACCTTCATTTTTGGTTTTGATTTTCATTTGTTTATTCTAGCTCGCTGCTCAGGGTAGCTGTTACTGTACAGCATTTGCTGGGAATATAGTGCATTGCTCAGGAACCATATTAAGTGCAATATGTTGAGCAGTGGTTGCAGTGGGATTTGTCCACGGCATATTGGGTGTATTTTTCTCTTGTGAACTTTTCCCTCCCCTAGTGTACTTTTTTTTTGCTGTTTGTTAGTAGTTCAGTTATTTTTTTCCTTTTTTGTTGTTGTTGTGTTACAGGGCATAGTTTGCAGGCTGTTTGCACTTAATTATGCCGGCTGCACTTAGCTGCAGCCTCTCCCCTAAATTAAGAGATTTCTATTGAGACACGTGAAGATATCTTCAATATAAAAATATTTATGTAAATTATATATGTATATATAATGTATTTTTTTTCATTTCACAAAAAACTATATTATTACATGCAAAGTAACAATATAGATGAGTATATCCTCTTGAGACCTGGTAATTCATTTTTGTACACTGTAGTGCACATTCAAGTTTTGCACATAACTCTAATACTGTACATACCACTTTACCAAGTCCTGATGTTTCTTACAGTGGACAACTGTAGCTTTAAATTGATACCCCATGTGTGGGGGTGTGGCCTTGCCAACTTCCCTTTTCCTGTCTTTTCAAAATGGCTGGCATCAGCACGGCGGCTGTGGCTCAGAGGCAGAGCGGGTCAATCCTTAATAGGAAGGTTGTGGGTTTGATCCCCGGCTCCTGGTGCCACATATCGAAGTATCCTTGAGCAAGATACTGAACCCCAAATTGCTCCCGATACCGGTGTGTGAATGTGTATGTTAGTTTCTGTTTGATGGACTTTGCCGTGTGTGTGAAAGGGTGAATGTGGCACATAGTGTAAAAGCGCTTTGAGTGGTTGGAAGACTAGAAAGGTGCTATACAAGTAGCCTACAGGTTGATTTACCACGGACACATTTTATGGAAGAAAGAAAGGTAAGCATCAAATTTTAATTTAACATGATTTTGAGTGTTATATTTTGATTGCTTTTAGTGAGGAAACATCTAAGGAGTAATTTGAGTGAGTTTTCAGAGCTGAACTTGCTTAGTTTCATACCAAACTTTACTGATTAATGAATGTACACTGTAGTGTACATCGGGACTTTGTACTCATGATTATTTCTCTTTTTTTAGTAGACAGCTCTTTGTCAGAGGCAGAAAGAATACTTTACAGAATCATTGAGGGAGATTCAGACATAGAGTTCTCTGAAGATGAGAGTCCAGTGAGCAAGACAGGAGAGGGTGAGAACCCAGATAATGAATCAGATGAAGATGACCAAGACACAGAGCCAGCGGAAGTTGACCAAGACCCAGGGCCAGCTAAAGTTTGCCGTCGTCCTCTATGAGCCAAAACTACCATGTAGGGATAATCAGATAATCAGAGCAAAAAAGCTAAGAAAACCTACAAAGATGTTTTGGCAAAATTCATTTGATACATGTATAGACTCAATGTTATAGCCTAAATGTGTTGTAAGTGAACCATCCCTTTAACGCTCCTGTTATGTTGCGGGTCAAATTGATCTCTCTCTGTCTCTCTCTCTGTCTGTCTCTCTCTCTCTCTCTCTCTCTCTCTCTCTCTCTCTCTCTCTCTCTCTCTCTCTCTCTCTTTTTCTGACTCACAAACACCATTGCTGTTCCTGAGAAACCAATATAACAGGAGGGTTAACAATGTAACATGTTAATTTTGCCTTCCTCTTCGGGAAAGGGGCCTGCCTGCTATAGGAACAATTCAAAAGAATCGAATCCCAAAAGAGTGCGACTTCACTGCTGACAAGATCCTGAGCAAAAAACCAAGAGGGTCATCAGAAATGATCGTACAGAGACCTGATGAGATAGCAGTCACCAAATGGATGGACAACAAGCCTGTTGTCATGGCATCAACCGCCCATGGGATTGAGCCCCAGGATACCTGCATCAGATGGTCAAAGCAAGAAAAGAGGCAAGTTGAAGTCCCAAGACCTACAGTGGTTGCAGAATATAACAGCAACATGGGAGGGGTTGACATGTGCGATTTCATGCTCAGCTTCTACAGAATGTCCAGCCGGACGAAGAAGTGGACGGTCCGCACGATGCTCCACTTCACTGATTTGGCCATTACTAACTCGTGGCTTCAGTATCGGCAAGACAGCCAGGTCTTGCAAAGACCTGCAAAGGATACTGCCCAGTACCTGGAGTTCAAACTCCTCTTGGCTGAAGAACTGATAACCCAGGGACAAGCATGTGCACAAGACCGGAGTGACTCAAGTGATGAAGAATTCACTCCAACACTGAAGAAAAGGAAGCCGCACCCAGATGAGAGAATCTGAAAATATGGTGCGATCCACTTGCCTGAAATGGTCACCAGTCCAAGTCCTTCCAGATGCAGAATGCCTGGGTGCACTAGTAGAACCTATGTGAGATGTGTTAAATGTGACATGTTCCTGTGTGTCACCAAAAAGTCACAGTGCTTCCTCACATATCACAAATGAATTGGTATTTGTGAACTGGCAAACCAAATGTTCATCCTAGGTCTATGGCCAGTGAAAAGTTGAATGAGTTGTATGTGTATTTGACCCTGACTGAGTTTATGTTTTTGTGAAGTTTTTATGCAGTCAGTGTGTGTTGTGTTGATATCTGGCCAGATTTTAAATTCTGTTAATGTTTTAGGGTTGAGATAAATGAAGTCCTGTTGTACACTACAGTGCACATGTTATAAAACATGAATGAAATTATGAAGAAAAAAAAAATCTGTGTTTTTTACCACCCCAACACTCCATTTATATGAAAAAACCCCGGGTCTCAGGAGGATTATAGGAAGACAAAAGGTACAATAAAGGAAAAGTAGTAATATATCTTGTACCCTTAATATGGTTTCACAACCTAATTATCATTTAGTTTG